TAAGACATCAATCAACATATGTTAGATAAACATTTGTTTTGTCTGGAAAGGTGGGACAAATGGAAGTGGGAAGGGGTTGTCCGGGTCATAGGTAGATAAGAGACAAATGGCTGCATTCTTTTTGAGTTTCTGATTAGCCACTCCAAAGGAAGCATATACATTTATCTCAGTGAGCAGGGGGTTCACTAAATAGAATGGGAGGCAAGTTGGTACTAAGCAATTCCCAGCTTGACTTTTCTCTTTAGTTTTGTGATTTGGGGTCCCAATATATTTTCCTTTCATGTTTTCCTCATTTTATTTTTTACAACCTTTTGGAGAAAGCATTTTAGAAGGAAATAAGTGTCTTGTCTCAGGTTTCATCTGATCTCTAATGGCTAGGATGGTTTATTCCTAGACGAGTAGGTCCCAAATTATTAGAAAAGCTCATTTTTAGCAGGTTGTGAAGTCTAATGCCCTATGAAGAGAAAATAGGGGAAGAAAGGAACAAGGGCAAAAAAAAATAAATGAACAATCCTGGAAAATAAGTGTAGGCCACATTACTCTAAAGTCTACAAATCAGTACGCAGGCATGAAAGTGATTTATGTAAGTAAACGTGCTACTGATATTTTCTTCTGAAGTTTAAGTTGTCTACCTTCAATTCACAGGGCTTTATGAAAGCACGGCTTAAATTTCAGCAATTTTAAATTAGAAAAAAATGGGGAAGGAAAGAAGAAAAAAATGAAAACATTATTTTGAAGACTTGTGGCCAAGGAAAATTTGAACTTAGTCCAAACTATGGAAAATGATAAATATTGAAAAATACTAGGCAAGACTAGAATCTAACAACAGAGGTACTACAGTTTTGTGAAATGTAATTTTTTCTCTCTTCAGTTTTCTATTTTTACTAAAGATAAATCATAGTAGTACTGATATGCCTTATTATACTTGACCTGATTATTTGTACACATTGCAGCAAGAATAATCATTTTTTACATAGGCTTTTAAATTGGCTTTGATGAAACTTTGTTCCATAGAAGCAATCTTACATAGGACATTTTTAAAGCCGAGCCAAACCATGAATTTGTATCATCAGATAGTTGTGGGTTGGGTGATCCTCTCCTCTTAAGGTTCCAATATAAACTTGGAGCTCATGGGCCTCTCAGACAGCGACATTCTTTACTTAACACAGGTCAGGAGCTCTGTGCAGGGACTATAGATAAATATTCCTTCAGTTAGGGACTTTTCAATGTCTCTTAAGTTCAGAGATGTATTTTGTCAGTGTGGGGAGCAGGACAGGAATGAAGGAAAGGAGAAAACACCCTGTGCTTCCCTTTCAAGGTTCTACACATTTCATCAAGGCCATGTTAAAACCTCACTTCCTCCAAGAAGGCTTTCTAGATTGCTTAAGGTAAGGATATATGTCTCCTAGTACAATGTTTTTTTTTTTTCTTTAATATATAGGTCTAGTGTAAGACTGAATACATTCTAGTAATGCCAGCATTAACATCTCTATCTGTGTAGTTTTTCTCATTGGATGATGTGCTTGAAGAACAGAAACATATGCTTTATTATTTTTTCAATATACTAGAGCATGGAAGCAGTTTTAAAGTGCTAAGAAATGTCATACTTATAAAATCAGTTAAAATTAAGTTCACTAATAATAAAATATCAACATTTAACATGGCATATTTTGTTTTGATATATGTGTTTGTATCATCTTAGATTCCACCAAAAGTATCATCACCTCTTATTGTATTCTGATATACCCTCATTAGTTCATTGCATGTGTATTTTAATATCAGATGAAGAAAATGTAATATCACAAAGATTAACTTTCATTCCTCATATATCTGTGTAGCTCCAATACTTGAATTGAAGAAAAAAAAATCTATCACAGCTTAATAGCCATGAATTGTTCTAGAAAATAAGCATATTGGATAGTAATAAGCAGAATATGTCCAATATCTATAGTAAACACACGCCTCCTACCACATCTTGGGAATGGAGACTGAATATGTTATTTGTGTTGCTAATAAAAATAATTACTAATAAAAAGAAAAGACAAATGAAAAGACCATCTGCACTGCACAGAATATTATGTTGGAAGAAAACATTGCTTCACACCTTTAAAAAAACATTGTTATCATCAGGCCACAACAAACAAAACTCAAGAAAGAAAACTTATATGAGCTAAAAATGAGTTGAAGAAGAGCATTATTATTTTGTGCCCTTTACAAGGGGAAAGAAATCAGAAAAGCACAAGATGTAATAAAAGTTGAACTTTCGGTTAAAAAGATAAAATCTCTTACAATTTATTAAGATTAAATTAATTACTTGATAAAATTTTATTTTTCTAGCCAATTTAGTGTATGTGATTTTTTCTTTTTACATCAAGTCCAATCTCTAGAAAGACCGTTATAATTTTTTGAATTTATAAAACTAGATTATATAAAAGTTTTTTTCCATAAATCCTTTATTGTTTCTTACACAGACTATTCATTATATGCCTGAATTTTCTTGTTTTTCCTGAAACTCCCTCTTTCTTAAAAAATAAATAAATAAATAAATAAATCATTTTATTCTAGGACTAAGTTTACCATGCAAGATCCTTTCTCACATAAAATTATTTCTCTTTAACCTTCCTTACCAAAAAAATACATTTTCATTTTTATAACTTCCTTTATATCTCTCTTATTTCCTGGTTCCTTTTACCTGGCCTTATATATAACCTTTAAACAAGCTTTGAATTGGAAAAAAATTGTTCACCTTTATAAAAAGGACACATATTTTTGAAAGAATGTTTTCCTATAATAGATTTTTATTGGAAAATACTCAAAAAATAGAATATCTATTGTTTAGTTTATTATCTTTATATTCTAAGTTATGAGTTTACCTACAAGTATTTATCCCATTACATTTGCCTAATTATTTTATTTTAATCATTTACCTAAATTATTTATGCAAACTGCAATAGTCATAATTTAATGTTATGGAATCACCACTGCAAAATTATAACTGAGAAAGTAAAAAAATCGGATCTAATGACTCCATCTTGCTTCTAACCTCCAAGCTGTCTTTGTTCATTTCTGAACATAGGCTGAACTGACTTTGGGAAGAACTTAGTTTATAGTTCAGCTTTGAAACAAAGATAACAAGAGTCCTTTCCTAAAACAAACCTTTCTTCCTGTGGACTAGACTGCCTAAAGCCATAAGTTTAGAAGTTATGGTAATCTTACTGAATTCAAGATGTAGCTTTGTTCATTAAGCCAATATCAGTATTTATTAAAATTACATGAGCAAAGATCATTCTGTCTTGGTCTGAGTTTATAGTTTTGTAACCCCTATGCCAAATTTTGACACTTTAGGGTATTTGACAGGGCTAAGTATAAAATTGCTTTATTAATAAGTGCAAAGAAAACTGTATGCTGGCAATTCTTAAGACATTTATAATATTACTTTACCAATAATTTAAAATCTAACTTGTTCATTAAAGATAATACTTAACTTATGTAAACCTGAAAAAGCGTTTAAGCAGACTTTTTTCCTGATAAAGTATTTAATTCAAGTGTTTTTATTTTCTTAAGCCAATTCATTAGAACTCTTTTACGTATTTTCAGAAGTGAAACATTGTGTAGACAACATATACATAAATGCATTAGGCATGCCAATACAAGTACATCTTATAGCTTCATAAAACCTTTTTTTTTCCTATCTTAGAATTTAAAGTTCTTGATAACCTGTTTTACTACACTAGGTAGCTGTCAGCTAAATAGCCTTAAATCTACATATTAAAAATTTTCAAGTGAAAATAAAATAGCAAAATTTACATCATCAAGTATGGAGATAAATAGTCTGGTGTGCTAAAAAGAAATTAAAACAATAATTTCCAATTAAACATAAAATTATAGAAATTATAAAGACCTTTAAAATATATGCACATACATACAAAGATCCTATAGTTTTTATTTCAGAACTTTAACCATGAGATACATACAAATTCATCATCTTGCAAACAACCCATTGGATTTAAATGGTGGTTTTTACCTTAATGGAAAAATAACAGCAGATTTAAAGCAGGCAGAAAAGAAAATAGAGAAAAAAGAGAACGTCAGAATTTTTCAGTTTGCAGGTCAACCTTAGGGCTCTTTTTCCTTAATGGAAATGTGCACAAAGACCATTTTACTGCCATTTTACACTCTGGCAAGTAGAACTGCTATAAAACCTATGAAGTGCTCGATAAGGAGTCATTTTTCTTGTTTTCCTTTCATTCCTAGATTCTTTATTGCCCATTTTTTTTCTTAAAAGGAGGAAATGAGCTGTAGCCTAGGGGCCTAGGGTTTTCGTGTGGTGGATCAATATTCGCTTCTTGTGGCAGGACTCCACAATGTGTCATCACTGAGTTGTTTCCACCTTCTTACTTGTCTCACACTCTCTCCAGAGGTCTATGACCTCTGAGAGGTCTCAAAAAGCCCGTATCATCCCTTCTGTGTATTTCCTGGATACGGCTTTTTAAAATTAATTTTTGCTGGAGATTTTTCTACAAGGCCACTGCACATCATGGTGGTCAACCTCCAGACATCCCCATGAGATCGCCCATCACCCAGGGCACCTTTTGTCTGGTAGGAGCAAATGCTCTTTCTTTTTGGAGCTGAGAAAACTCAGTCACTCATTTACCTATAAAAACAACAATTCAGTTCCTTACACAAATGCACACAGACAAGCCAAATCTAGATGAATTTTGGGAGAAAAAGCAATAAAGATGACCCTTTAGAATGCATTTCTGAACTAGAATTTGACTCCTTTAATAACTTTTTAGGAGAGAAAAATAAAAACAGCAGCCAAGATCATGTCCTGTAAACTGTGTTCAGCCACCCCTACTTTGTAGCTCTTGTCTGGTATTACACACACCAAGATCAGAACCTCTCACAGTACAAGGTAATCTCTAGTACCCACAAAGCCAAAGAGGTCAGGTCATGCAATACAAGAAAGCAGAGCTTAAACCTAAGAAAAATCTGCCTATGACATTTGAAACTCTACAATGAAAACAGAACACCCCAAAAGGGGCAAGTGACACATTTGTTCTGAATTCTTTAAAGCGGTTTAAATCATTAGAAGCCTTTTCTAGATTTTTTGGTACTGCAGATGGCAAAGGGGGAAGAAGGTATAGGGTGGAAGAACAGTAAATTAAAGAACTTTTCCTATACCTACCTGGCAGGGGAGATACCATGATCACGAAGGTGGTTTTCCCAGGGGGAAGCTTATCCATTGCACTCTGGATGTGCTGACCCCTGCAATTTCCGCAAATGTGGGAAACTCGGCTGCATAATTTGTGGTAGTGGGGGACTGCATTTGTGCTTTAAAAAAAAAAAAAAAAAACTTTTCTTTTCTTTAACACAGCAAGCAAACACAGAAACCAAGCACTTGGCTTTATGTTTTGTTGTTTTTTGTTCTTGATTTTTTTTTCTCTTTTTCAGCTGCAAAAAATTTAGCCAAATTAGAGGGGCTTTGCTACCACTAATTTGGAATTCTCACTTGAATTTGACAAAGTCAGGCAGAGTTGGTCAAATTTGATGGAGAAAGACCAGAACAAACAATAAATAAATGCCAACAATATGATCACTGGGTGCTCTAATGGTAAGAAGAGACTAAGACCAGGTGGTTGTTAAACTTAAGCAAAAATGAAACCCAAATTCAACTACTTGCCTAGCGATTGACCTCAGGCTGAATAGTGCTTTCTGCCATACTAGCAGCAGGATAAAAAGAAAAAACAAACCAAAAAAAAAAAAAAAAGAAAAAAGAAAAAAGAAAAAAACTTAAGCTCGTCTTTCCTGCTGGAAGAGCGCTCAAACTATCTTAAGATGATATCTGCCTTCTATCATCACAAGAGCAGGAAATCTTGCCTTCCTTGTTGTAAGCAATAAAAATCCAAAATTTATGGGAGTTATACATCAAAAGAAACTTTAAATCTCCACCAAATTTTTGGAGATCAGTATTCTTTGGAGCGAATGCTCCCAGACCTCAGTAAATTGTATTTTTGCTTTTTAGTTATAAAGTTAGCTCATGCTGTTACCAAGCACCGATAGGAGATTTTTAAAAGTTCAGGGCATCTCCACTCAGAATCCCTCCATGGATACCAAAATGTGAACCTCAAATATCTGAGACAGGTCTCAGTTAATTTAGAAAGTTTATTTTGCCAAGGTTGAGGATGCCCATTCATTACTCAGCCTCAGGAGATCCTGATAACATATGCCCAAGGTGGTCAGAGCACAGTTGGTTTTATACATTTAGGAAGACATGAGACAACAATTAACATGTAAGACGAATATTGGTTAGATCTGGAAAAAACAGAACAACTCAAAGCAAAGGTATGACAACTTGAAGTGGGGAGGGGGCTTCCAGGTCATAGGTAGATAAGAGACAAATGGTTGCATTATTTGAGTTTCTGAGTATTTGGAGAGGCTTCTCCAAAGGAGGGAATCAGATATTTATGTCAGAGAGCAGAGGGGTACCTTTGAATAGAATGGAAGACAGAGTTGCCCTAAGCAGTTCCCAGCTTGACTTTTCCCTTTAGTTCAGTGATTTTAGGGCCCCAAGGTTTATTTTCCTTTCACATAGCTGTGTATTCATCTCTGGAACTGCTTGCTATTTCCTCAAGTAGCTAAATTTAACCTAATAATGACATACCAGATACTACAATTCATGCCCTATAGCTTAACAATATACAGCTGATCACTAAGCAATGTTACTTCTGTAAACCAATAGGAATTACTAACAAAACACTTTGTATTAATACACCTTCTGTCCCCTTATTTTGCCTTTAAATATCCACTCATAACTGCTGCTAATCAGAATGCACACTCAGAACCTATGTTTGTGGGTTGCAATACTCAAGCTTTGCCCCTATATATACCCTACTTACATTAATTTTGCCTTATCTTTTTCCTTTTAGATCAAGATGTCATTATAAACTTCTACAGTAATCATCACAAAATGATATTGCCTTACAGGTTTAAGGACAGTTTTCTAAACCAAAACTGGTAGCTGATATGGCATTTGATGGGTATTTTCTTATTTACTGCAGAAAAACATCAACTTGAATTCTCACTTAAAGAAACAAACTAAAATGCTTTCGCTGTGCATGACAAATATACATTCTAAAATATCAACCCAAAGCACCATTTTCCAGGGATGAATATTTATAAAATACTATTCAAGGAATATGCTGGATTAGACTGTGCACAGGTTTTAGACACATACACACACACCCCAACATATGAACAAAAAAAATCAGCTGATTTCATTATGAATTGATATATGCATGTTTGAAATTAGAGACTATTTTAATTACTAGGAGTCATGAATGTGGATAAGGAATAGATATGGAATATGCAAGGTTTTTCTTACATTTGTTATGGTTGACAATGGGAAGCAAGCAGAGTTATCTTTTAAAATGATAATAACAATTCATTCATTTTTAAACCTACAAATAAAGTCGTGCCATGCACTTTCTGTGGAACCATAAAAGAAACATCAATTAATTTCTAAAAATCAGCATTGTTTTCTTTTCCAAATACAGTACTACTGTCAGGTAATTAAATAGACATTGGCAACTGGGAGGGGGTAAAAGAGGAGAGCAAAAAGGCTGCCACCAAGACAGCCCCTGACCCACCCTACTTCATCCCCAAGACCACCTAACTCTACTCTAACAGATGGAATTTGTGGTCAAGTCTGTGCCCAGCACATCATTGAGAATAAGGAAATAGGGCACAGGTGGAAATGCACTAAAGTGGCTCATGCCCAATAACACCAAACCATGCCCTCGCGTTTACCCCAAGCTCATTATACTATCATTATAATAGAATCTGCATGCGGCTTTTCCTCCAAAGTGGACTTTCTGTATGAATCATGAGTAGAAACATGCAGCTTAATTTTAGTTATATAGCCATAAACTGTAAATCAAATTACATCATCCTGTTCATCAGACACAGCCCAAACCTCAACTCCTCCTCATAAACCCCATAAAAATACCTTGAGCTCCATAAAGAGCTCTCCTTCAGAGAGTATATTACTGTGCTTCAATAAACTTTGCTTTGAGATTGCCTGTTGGTGTTAGTTTGCAATTCTTCGCTCACTATTAGGAGAACCAAGATTGCTGGTCCAGAGCTCTGGTTATGTTGATCACCTCAGTTAAAAAATCCATCCCAACACAAAATTCCAAGTAACACTACCTTGACAATTGCTTTGGTCAGCTCAGGTTGCTGTAACAAAGTACTATAGACCAGGCAATTTAAACAACAAAAATTTATTTTTCAGCATTTTGGAGGCTAGAAGTCTAAGATAAAGGTTCTGGCTTATTTAACTTCTGATAAGGGTAGCATTCTGGTTTGCAAAAGGCTGCCTTCTTGCTGCATCCTCACATGACTTTTTCTTAGTGCATACACATGGAGAAACACACACACACACACACACACACACACACGTAAACACACAGAGAGAGGGAGAGAGAATGTGCACATGCCAACACCCTGGTGTCCCTTCTTATAATGATATTAATCCTGTCCAATGAGAGCCCCATTCTCCTAGCCTCATTTAACCTTAATTCCTTCCTTAGAGATGCCATCTTCAAATATAGCCACACTGGTAGTAAGAACATCAACGTAAATTTTTTGGGGGAGGGATGTACAAACATTCAGTCTATAACAGTAACTGTCACTTAACTTCCATATTCTACATTAATCAAGTGATATCCAACTAATTAACATAAAAAGGACACAATGCAAAACACTGCTTAGAGAAAAATCATTAGATCATATTTAAACAATGGGATGGAAAACAAAATAGTGATGTAATTTGAATACAACATAAAAAGCATATGAAATTGAGCAACGCAGATTTGAATTTGAAGTAGAAAACCCTAGAGGCATTCTAAGTTTTAACCAGAAAAGCCACATTGAATGAATTCATATTCTGTATGTTCACAGGTTGAAACATGTAAAAACTGTGTGCATATATGTAAATATATATATATACCTATATAAAGGTAAATATATACCTTTACCTATATATTTATACATATATATTTACCTATATAATAGTAAATATATATATATATATATTTACTGTCATATAAGTATTCAGTCTGTAACATAGTCTATATATATATATATATATATACCTTTATATAGGTATTCAATCTATAAGTCTTATATATACCAATATAAAGGTGTGTGTGTATATATATATATATATATATATATTTACTCTTCCAAATATTCTATGGATTTCTGTTTATATATATATATATATATAAAAAATACATATTTATATGTATCATATATAATATTTGGAAAAGCAAAACTTTTGCATAACTGTGGACATTGCATACTTCCCTTTAAAATGATTAGTAATTAAATCGACTTATATAAAATTGAATATGGGTTTATATATTTTAGTATGCATCTGATAAATAATGTTGAAAGACAATCCAAAGCTTAAAATTAATCTGTGGAATGAAAAATGTATAAGAAAGATTATTAAATATTTCTTTATTGATCAATAGTTATATGGAAAAATTAATACATTTTATATGCAAATTAAAAGCATCTCTGTGTGTGTGTGTGTGTGTGCGTGTGTGTATACACATATATTTATATATACATATATATATACGCATAAAATATGCTATGAAATGTTAGACCTCTCATTTAGGGCACAGGAATTTCTTGCATGTTAAAAAGTGATCAAAGAACTTACTGATAATGTGAATGAGACAAGTAAAATTGACAGCAATATTAATTGTTATAATAATGGACTATGAATAAAAAATAAAAAGGATAAAATATAATAAATGCTTTTTAACCTTGCACGCAATGTGCTTAGGGACTTCTTGCAGATTAGCTCATTTGATCATCACAACAAATGTGTGGTATTTTAACCAATCTCACAGTTGATCGTGAGGATCAAAAGGTAACATATGAAAATAGTTTAGGAATCCGAAAAGAAACAGAGCAGTAGAATATGTATGCTATCACAAAGTGTTCCAAGGCTAACAAACTAAATATAGCTATGGCATAAGGATTTCCTATTGGCAACATAAGTATCTCAAATGAAGTAAGTTATTTAATTAATTCTTATTAGTTAAAATTAACTTCCATTATTAAATTACTTTTATTACCCATACCCCACAAGTACA